TTCACAGAAGTGAGACTCCATTTTTCCCGAAGGAGCTGGAAGGTATCCAAGTTGGCGCAAAGCGCAGTGAAACTGCCTGCTAGTTTACAGCGCCTGAGCCGGCCCTTGGGCCCCTCTCCCGTAGGAGGATCCTCCGGCCGCACTCTTCTGCGCCAACCTCCCAAGCCAACTGTCCCGCTTAGGAACAGCAACCTGGCACCGCCACACGCCACACAGAGGCCAAAGAACGTTGAAGGGCGGCAGTGGGAGGGGAAAGAGAAAGTTGCACCAGAGTGGCTCGGGCATCATCGATGTAGATGCGCGCTGTTTGTGAATCTTTCCACCGTCCTTGCACCATGGTGCGGCCAAGACTTTGAGTGCGCTGGTAGTATTCGGTAGCTCCTCCCCTCCTCAAAAAGTACGGGAGGAAGGCCTGCGGGTCAAAGCCGATGGCTCGGACGAGGCACCCAAACTCTTTGCGGAACGCAACCGCCGAGCGGGTGTAAAGAAGGGAACTCGGGCGTACCCGGTCCAACAGAAAGGAAATAACTGCCACGAGCCCCGGCTCTTTTAAAGAGAGGGATTGCTGTAGGCCTCGAGAGGTCTTTGAATTAACAATGGCAATGATGATGGTGCCTTCTTCCGGGAAGATGCGAAGGTGCCGAATCGTCAAAGAGAGCAGCTCCATAGTTCGCAGGAAGAAGGCAAAACCCAAAAGGATTGACAGAGCCAGGTCAGGCCGCCCAACTTTATAGGCTGCACCTGCCATAGCTTTGGCCCCTAGCCACGTCATCGGGCTGGTCCGTTGAGGCAAATGGACCCGCTGCCAATTGCGCAGAAAAAGCTGCGAGGTCAGCAGATGAGGCTTGCAGCGAGGGTAGAAGCGCTTCAGACCGCTGAGCGTCCACCCGGCCTGGGTCACCGTATCACCTTCCTGGTAAAGGTGATTGATGTATTCTGCAAGTGCCTCATCCAGTTCCGGCATGGTGCGAGGAAGCCTGCCCCGTAGGGCGTGAAGGTATTGAAACAGAGCCGCCACTGCATTCTCATAAGACCTCCTGGTCTTGGCCGTGATCCCCAAGAACCGCAGGTGATCATTGCGGTTCGTATTTTCTCGACGCACCATCTGAGAAGTTCCACTTGCTGATGGTCCATAAGCACATGGGGATCAGGCCTGATGCTAGGGAAAGGCTGGCGATGCGGCGGCTGACTCTGTTTAACCTTTTTGACGACGATCTTCCCTTGCCGAGCACGTAGAAGGAGACCAGCGAGTCGACAATACAGAAAAATCTTTTGCCGAGCTCCTCATTGTTCCGCGCCCTTCTGCGCAGCTCCGTGAGGAACGCCGTCATCTCCAGCACATTGATGTGCTGAGGCTCCCGCCACTTATATGACAGGACGTCCTTCCAGTGCCAGCGAAAAGCTGGATATGGACCTGGACGGTGGCCCACGACATCTTCGCCCCGGTCGGTGAGTCTGACATCGCAGCCTGTGTGGTAGGCGTGGCGAAGGAGCCAGACCAGGTGCTCCTTCTCCTTGCCCGCTTCCATGGTGTCCAGAAAGGCGGTGCATTGCGCCACCGCCCAGTCCACCGCAGCTTGCTGCTGAAGGCCTTTGGTAGCACCTTGCAGCTGGTGGTGCAGAAGCCGCTCCAGGCTCCGAGGAAGAGACCCAAACGGTTCCGAGTTGAGCGAGTTGAGCTCATCGTAGATTCCCTCCGCCATCACCAGGCAGAGGCCCCAAGGGTACTCGGAAAACTCATCCTCATCCTCATCCTCTGCCGGGTACTCAAGGTGAGGGTGGCCGTCACAAACCGGCTTGTGGAGCACCGCGTGAAGCGACGCGGAGTTGTGCAACACGCACAGCCAAGTCTCTCTTGGGCTTCCATGGCAGCAGGTCGAGAAGATCGAGTGGTACCAGCCTTCTCCTTGGAGAGCTTTGATTTCCGGGAGGCTCCACAGGAAGGAGTTATACGGATGCTCCAGCGAGGCGAACCTGCCTTTTGGGTTGGCCTCCACCAATCCCCGTGCTGCCCGCTTCGCTGTGGCATTCGCTTGCCTCACCGCCACGCTGAGGTGCTGCTTGAGCTTCGGGAGCCCCTCGGGGTGGCTACGGTCCCGGAGCTTAGTCGCCCCATCGACCCAGTAGCCCTGCCAGTCCCAGTACCCAGTTCGGCGGTCCGAAAGGAAGGTGATTCTCGTAGGGGACCAGTGGGTCCACATTAGATCGCCGTCGGCCTCCGCTTCATCCAACCGGGCTTTCCCCTCATTGGTGCGGAAGTCCCACTGGTCCCCCGCCACACTGTAGTCCAGCGGAGGCTGCGTGGAGATTCCCTTCAGGCCCACCGCCTTTGTCAAAGGGAAGGCTTTTCCCGAGAACCTTTCCCCAAAGGAAGGGGTGTGCCACCACTTCCGTACACAGCAGTCACCGTGGCTCCTTGTGCACATAAGAGAGCAGCATCGGAGCCCGCAGCGCCTGGGGCAGGGGTATGTGCGCCATCTCGGCTCGTTCATCTCCTTGCCACAGGCCCCGCAAAAGTTCTCATCGGCGACCGGGTCGGGAAGGATCAAAGTCTTGTCCTTGAACCCTGTTGCTACCGAGCAACCCCCGCCCGTAGGCGATGCATCGGAGCAACTGATTTCAAGAGAAATCTCCGAGGAGAGGCTCGTCTCTGAGAAAGGAAGGAGTGCCGTGAACACAAGAACCTCGTCCACCACCGGGGTCGGCAACGCCAGGTGGGCCCCAGCACGGTTGACCTCGAGCACTCCATACACCTCTTGCAGAAGTGAGTACATCGGCCTCCGGAAGGCCGCCGCGAAAGCGGCTTTGCCCGTCCAATGCCTCAGGCAGTGCTCAGGCATGGTGCCGTTCACCAGCAGCCCCAGGCCAAGGCCGATAAGCTCAACTGACTTATCATAAGCATGCCTCAATATCTTTGAGTCGCCTAAGATTTCTCCTCCTTGGAGGGTTCCCGACAAAGCGCCGCAGAGCTGCTTGGCCTCATTCCGGGGAAGGCCCAGAGTGTTGCAGGCCTCTATGAACGCCTGGTGGTGGGGCGAGGGCTGGCCCGACTCCTTCACAGCCAGCTCTTTCTTGAGGTGCCTGATCTCGTCGTAGTTGTCGAGGTAAAGGATTGTCATTGCCCCGGCCGAGGGGAGCTCTTGATCCATCGTGACATCCCTGTGGGGAGGGATCTTGGCTATCGTATAGGCAATGTGCCTGATAGCTGCTTGGATGAGGGTCACGGCGCTCGTCCAGCCCATGGGCACCACCCGAAGCGCCGGTCTGAGCATGACATTGCGGGATCCTCCCAGGGCATCTCCTCTTACCTTCTGGGCAAAGCTGAACATCGGTGCCCACTCCAGTGGCATCCTGAACAGGTTGAATGCCGACTGTAGGTCCTCAGAATCGAGGACCAGATAGGAGTCCTTGTCCGCCAAGATGGCGGTAAGCTGGCCGATGTAGGGAAGCTTGTCCTGCGCCCCAGGCAGCAGCCTCATTGCATCGTTGGTTGGGCAAAGGACCGATATGAACCGCTGAGCTTCCACATCGCGGCCCCCTTCCTTCTTCATCTTCACCACCGCTCCGGCCCCATTCGTGATGAGGTGCCCCTGCTTGTCCCGTGGCACTTCTTGGTCCTCGACAGACACAAACATACCTCGGTCGTAGCCGGCCTTCACTATTTTAAACCACTCCTCCTCCGAGGCCCTCACCTTCGACCCCCGATGTCTATCAGGGAGCTCCGTCTCCGGCAGGAGATAATCACGCGGGCGGTCGAGGGCCGCCTGAAGCTCGTCCGCCAGGCAGTCCTTCAAGTCAACGACCGCCGCGGACCCGACCCTTGGCCAGGCCTTCAGCACCTTGTCGGCAACGAGGTCCCTCATGTGCTCAACCGGGCGGCCGTTGTAGTCAAACTTCTTGGAACATAGTTTTGCCGCCGCGGCCTTAGCCGAAGGGAGCCGGTCTCCTCTTCCAATGAGTCGGTCCACCTGCTCCCCGATTCGCTTGACAGCTTCCTTTTGGTTGGTAGTGAGGGTCCTTGCCATTGGGACACAAACCGCCTTGGACCAGGCCGAGCAGTACATGAAGTCAAGCCCAAGCAAAATGAGACGGACCCAGTGGAGGTTGTTAGTGGAGATTCCCTCCAGGCCTTGCACAACAAGGGCGGGGTGGATCGGCATCAAGTCCCCATGTTGCCCTCGACGACCTGATTGTGAGGTGGGCTCGTCGCCCGGGGGCAGCTCCTCCGGGTTCGCGTGTGTGCGAGCGAAGTTTCCCAGGGCCGTCTTGAGGGACAAGATGGAGTCCAGGAGCAACTTCCCCACTGCCTTGAGGCTAGGCTCTCTGTCCATTGCCCTTTTCATCCTGCTCCTCCACTCCTCCATGGAGATGCCCTTGGCAATCTCGGCCCAATAGGGCTTGAGGTCCTTCCCCGTAAGGACCTTCATCATCGCTGGTTCCTAGATCACCGAGGTCGAAGTCGAGCACCCCTTCAGAGAGAAGCGAGCTAAGCCCAGGAACCGAGGACTCGGCCGTAGCCGTCCCCTGGGGTAGAGCGGCCGAGGCCTCGGCCGTGGCCGGACGCTCTCTCCTCACTCGTGGGGGGCTTCCTTCCCTTTGCCTCCTCTTCCTTTCTTTCCTCCCTTGTCTCCCTTGGGATCCCCCTTCGTCTCCCGCTTCGGGTCTCCTTTGGGATCTCCCTTTCCTCCTCCTTTGGTCTGCAGGCGGCGCATCCGAAGCTCGCCCGCCCACTCCTTCGACGCCATCACCGCCTCGTCCCGGCCTAAGAGGCTGGGCCCCTCGGCGTCCAGCAGCTCCAGGAACTGGGCACGATTCCAGCCGCCGTCGCTCTGAAACAGCTCCAGAGCTTTTAGCCTCTGCGCCAGCACGTCTGCCGCGTACTGGTAGCGACCTGCTGCGATCTCGTCGAGGGCCATCGCGAGGGTGCGCATCTCCCGCATCAGGCGGATCGGCGGCTGCTTCGGCGTCATCATCGTGAGGGTCCAGTTGGTGGCCACCGGCGGTGTTCTGCTCCCCGTCCTCAAAGTTG